GGATCAATAGGTACGTTGACCTCGAAAGAAAGATAAATTCGATCACCGCAATGAGTGTCCAAATCTGAATATTCAATCTTGAATGCAGAGATCGCGGATCTTGGATAGTTGAGATACAATCGTGAATGATGTGTATGCTGCCAGCTTTGAGGTTGGAGTTTCAATGCCGGCAGCCATAGCATGCGACGGACATTCAATCTGAAACCAAGCCTCGAATCAAATTCAAGAATCGTCAATCGTTCATCTGCTGAAGTTTAAATCGTGAATGTCTACGTGCACTTGCGGATCGCTGCGAAGGTCGACGACCATCATGCACAGACTTGCAGCTCTGGTGATCACAGCGTGGTGTGAGTCTCGCAAAAAGGCCGTGATAATGTAGTCTTGAGTGAGTGCCCGCGAAATTTCCCACAAGAAAGTCAAATGTTGCCCCAAACGAAACCAAAAACGTCCATCGCAGCTCGGCGCAATCACTCCGAACGGCGCGTAGTCTCGAACAGCATCTGCAGAGGATAAAAGCGTTCACCAAGTGGTATCTAAAGGAACGGTGTTGTTGTTGTAAGATGAGACAGCAGCAAAGTCGAGGACGCGGACAAGGTATAAAAGGAAGAGCAGAGGCGGTAAAGCGAGCGTCCAACTCGCCCTCTTCGAATCCAGGGTATAGCCAGACATTTCCGTTTTTTTTTGTTTTCTTTTTTTCCTTTGTCGGTGTTTTGGAAAATCGTGCGCGCGGCGTGACTTTGTGCGGCCGAGGTCTCGACAGCAGATGGAAGCAGGAAAAGGCAGAATAATGCCGGGGTATCAAGGGGGAACGTTGGCCAAGTCGCGATCGAGAACGCTCAGTCTTGCTCAGCGTCCACGTATCTTGAGCGGATACTGCCCGTGTTGATCGAGGCAGTGTCTGCCGGTAATGGCGACGCTCCATTGCTGACTGGCAGCGCGTCAGATTGGCTGCCATTCGTGTGACTCACACCTCTCGGAGTGAGTTCAGCATCGGTGGACCTGTCCAGAGCGGACTGTCTAGTAGGCGTCAGAAGCGTGTCAGGAGCGGACCCATTGACCTTCAATGGAGTCAGCGTCTTGCTCTTCTCCTTTCCTGCTGTCGAAGCTGTGGGAGTGCCGAGGGGTGAAGAGCTGTTACTTCCGCGTACCTTTGGAAGGCTCGGTTGGTTCCCGCTGCTGCTTGCGCCACCTCTGACGCTCAGCAGACTGGCCATCCGGCGCAGCCCGGCTCGGCGGTAGATGCTTGCGGTGACGCTCTTGAAGCTGGGAGCAAAGAGGGAGCGCCGCTCAGATGCGGCGTCCCCGTTGATCGAGTCACGTTTAGCATGACCACCGAACATGCGTCCGCCAGCACTTGGGCTGCTCGGCAAAGCAGGGCGAGGAGGCGCTATCGTCTCTTCGATGCAAAGCCAGGAAGACGTCGGGGTGCCCATTCCGGGCGTTAGAATGCGCGACGCTGCCTTCTGATTGAGCTGAACGATGAGCACTGGGGAAAAAGAAGCGCATGCAGCTGCATCTAAAAGCTGATCTTGCCACATGGATACAAAGCCTTCG